CCAGATGTAATTCAGTAGTGACAGAAGGAGCTGCTTAGCTTCCGGCGGGAGGCGCTTGAGCATGCCGGCGGTGATGCCGTCCATGCCCGGGGCGGTATCCTTGCAATAACGGAGGGCCGCCTCGAGTTCCTCCAGGCTGAAGTCCTGTGATATGCCAGTGGGGTCGGCGGCCGCCGCGGCCGGCTCGTCCGGGAGTAGCGGCGGGGGCGCACGGGAGACGGTGGGAGGCGCGAAGATGGCCAGAAAGTCCTCCAGCCAATCCCCAGAGGAGGGGTTGGGGGGAGAAGCACGAGCGTGGCGACGGGCCATGGACCAGAGGGAGCGCATGTCTCCGGGCGGAAGCAGTTTTTCTATAAAGGACGTCCAATGCGCCCTCTTAGCACGGCGAACGGTAGAAGCTGCCGCGTCCTGGGCCTCGGTCCAGCGTAGGTAAGACTCTTCTGTGCGCACTGCCAGGTACGCCCGCTGCGCCTCGCGCCGGGCCTGGATAGCGAGTATAACGTGTTCAAATGTGCCCGGCCATACAGTTTAATATAAGTAGGTAGAGTGGAGTAGGAACATCAAGTTCAAATTTTTAGTAATGGGCGCCAGAGAGAATTAACTCTCCTTGAAGTCACTAACAAGATGGCAGTGTGTAGGTAGAAAAGGTTTAATGGTTCAGACCAACAAGAGGTAATATAGCTCTCTATAACATCAACATAAAATATATCTATACATATATATATTAAACAATAGCAAGATGCCGTAACTTCAGGACCTTCAAAACAAGACTAGTCCAACTCAGACTTCCGGAAGACATGACAATCATCAAGAGCCCCCATGACTGAGAACGCTTCAAGTTATTACTGGGGTCTGAGTGTGCCACGAGGCATGACACACTTAGCCTAGGCCACCAGCAACAACCTTCGCCACTCCCAGCCATGAGGACCCTAACGATGGGAGACAAACAACTTCTCCACGACTAGATACATAACAAGTGTGATTCACACTACTGGACGGAAAGTTTTAGTACAACCACAAAAGGGTTAAGGCCTACAGGCATTGCAGTGGAGAGGACGACGGAGAGGTAGGGCGCTTACTTAGGCAAACAACGTGCTTGACATGGTGGCTCCTGGAGGCTGACCCAGCAGCCCTCCAGACACTCGTTCTCGGACAACATCGCCGGCCGGGACGACGGCGCCGCTATGGCCTTAGCCAGACATCGCGAAGGGCACAAGGGCCGAACGCGGGATAAATCCTCGGAAAGAGCACATGGTGCTAACAACAACCTGGAAAGTGAGAGTCAGCAACATGACAGCAACGCACGCAACAGACACAGGCTCGAGTTGAGGTTAGGTATCCCAGCAAACGAAGACGCTTACCGGGAAAGAAGAGGAAAGCAAAATCATGTTCCAAATTACATTTCTTGTAGCAAAGTAATGGAAAACATAGTACTCAACCAAAGCTGCAATATGGAAAACTTACCTTGGCCTCTTGAATAGATGATGGTCTGGTCTGGGACTCACTATCACTTTCGCTGCTTCCAATGAGTGTCACTTCGTCATTAAGGGGAGGACTTAAATATTCCTGAGACAAACAAACAATGTTCACAATTAAAATGAAGGTCATGCAAGTTTTTAATAAGCTGAAATAAAGAACTGGGATGAATGGCACATATAAATTACAAGTATTTAAGACTCAAGACTAATGTGTTCAGTTAATATTGTAATGTTAGAGCATCACGGCGCGAGCCAACAGAGCTCAGTCGGCTTGCAGTCTCGGTCGAGTCCAGTCGTGTTCGTCCGTGCCTGTATCGTTCCTGCTAGTACCAATAAATCCACTGATCCAGTACCTCCTGTGTCTCCTTTACTCAGTCACTACCTGACGCTACAATATTATACCTTTTCAGGGCTTTTGGTTTTGACAGCAGTCTCTTTTTCCTAAGGATCAATATCATCATCAAACACATGTTCTACCGGATCCAGAAAACCCAATTCGTCATCGTCTGCATTGCAACTTTTCTTTAACTTAGATCGACTTAGATCGTTTGTCTTCTCTTTTGCCAATTGATTTGGTTTTTCACATTTCTCTTCCGCCTCTTGGGATCGCTTTCTTTCAGAGGCACTGGCACTGACTTCAGACGAAGGACCAACACAAACATTGAATAAGGTCGAAAAGGATCGTGATTTTGGAACATACTTATTTCCTGTCCTGTCTTGAGTCTTCTCCTTCTCCTTCTGAAAAGCTTTGTTACCAAAGGTATTGAAGGTAAAAGCAGAAGGAGCATCACGTAGGGGGGTTGCATGTGGTTTAATACTGTCCACCACTGATGAGGTAACAGATGATAGCGCTCCTAGAACATATTTGTCTTCTTTCTCAATTCTCTCTTTTGATAGGGCCCCTGCAGCTACGGGTATTGAAGGCACAATTTGAGTGAGATTCTCATCAGTCTTCAGTGTGGTGGTGGCAGAAGCGATTTTGGGGGCCATCTGTCAAATGGCCACAGCATTCTGCCATTCCTGGTTGACAACCTGAGGGTATGGCAGCGGAATTGCTGGATTGATTGGCAGACTTGGGTACATTGCATAACCAGCAGTGGACATCTGCATTGACAAGAAAACATGATACCAAGAAGGTGGCCAATTAATCCTTCATTTTGAAAAGTTGGAATAACAAGTTTGAGCAAGTGACTCAGAAACTTACATTAAGTATACTGTACTATACTGCATCGCTGCCTGCATCTGGGAAGCCTGCATCTGGGCAGCCTGCATTTGAAAAGCCTGTTGCATTTGAGCGACCTGCTGCATTTGGGTGGCTTGCTGCATTTAAGTGGCTTGAAATAACTGTGGATTCACCTGAAACAAAACAATATTAGACCATAATAAAGTTAGCAAGACACTTTTCAGATAAAATACCTAGGTAGATGTACGCCAGACCACGTCTCGCGTAACAGGCTTCGCGATATCTCACGAAACACTGTTACGCTGCGACGCGCCTGGCATACATCTACCTAGGCCTGCGGCGCTGACACCTGAGTCGGGCAAAAGGCAGAGTCGTAGATAGGCCTTCGGCTCCAAAGAACACAAATTTTACCCCCAGGACTTTATTTTGACGAGTTGCCCCACCAGAGTCCACCAAATATCTGAGAAACACAATTAATATTTGACTTTGACTAAGCATGCAGGGTTGTACATTTTTTCGCTTATTTTCGTCAAAAATACCCTCTAGCGCTTCAACGGTTTAAACTAGAGCAAAACGGAGAAAATTTTCGCCCAAAGGGCTCTACTTTGATGAGT